CAACATTGTACCACTTCACTCATGCATGTAATACCATCAGATTCTGTTTTCTAAAATATCTAAGTATATACATGTATTATCAGAAATTCATGTTACTTAACATCTGTGCCCATAATATCACCAGGGTCCATAATATCGCCACCTTGAGAAACAGTGTGCTTAAAGATATTTTTACTGCAACATACTTTTGGTATGCACTCCTTCACACATCAAATGTACATACCTAGGGTATGTTGCAGTAAAAATATCTTTAAGCACACTTTTTCTCAAGGTGGCAACATTATGGACCCAGGTGATATTATGGACACAGATGTTAATGTTCATTGTCAACTAATTCTCTGTTTTCGTAATTTCTTACTCTGCCATTGCAATCTGTTGGACAAGCTGAAGGTATGAGTTTCAGTTGTTCAGTTTAGTTTATCCTGAATAAGGGGACATCTCCCTGGGCTTCATATATGCACCTTAGTACACATAAAATTTTTGCAGCTCATTTTGCAGCTGCTTTGGAGATTTACAGTTGTAACAGGGCTCGAAATTCATTTTTGGGAATAGGTGCACTGGTGCACCCAACCTAAAAAATTAGGTGCACCATATAAAACAAAAAAAACTAATTACAGATCTTACTGCCCCTCTTCTGAGATTGAAATGGGAGCTAATTTCAAATTCTAAAACAAGTACTACATCAAAGATTTTATTATTTTTTTATGTTAAGAATATCCTGCATAATATTATACTTTTGATATGTACAAAAATACCTACAAAAATATTTGGGTGCACCAGTGCACCTACAGAAAAAAATTGGGTGCACATCTCAATTTTTGGGTGCACTAAGGTGCACATGCACCCAGTATTTCGAGCCCTGCGTATAGTACGAAAACTTTTTGGTGCAGGGGAAACGGAAAAAAAATTCATGCACGCTTGGATGTCATCCATATGATCAAATCAACATGACCTAATCAGGACTCCTATTTAAGCATGCTCATCAGGCACCTAACATTAAAACACAATCCACGGTGACTTGTCTCTGACACTAATCAGACTAAATGTGTCCCAGGGGATTCCAGTCAACAACATTACAGCATGAATTCTGATTTCCAAAAAAAACATTTTGTATCCTAAAGTGTATACATGACAGACATTCATCCAATGTGACAAAAATGGGTAATGTGAAAATAGCAAATTTTATATTCCAAAGCTTTTTTTTGCTGGTAAGGCCACACTAATTCTCGGATTGATTTTTTTGAGACTTGCAAAAAATTGGATTCAGGTTCTGAATCAACTAAAAAATGCTCATATTATGGTCCCAACAATTGAGGATAGTTCTCTAGTTTTGGTAGTTATATTATAATATTTCAAAGCTCTGGTTTCCAAATGTTTAAAGGTCTTTATTTGAAGCAGTATTTGAAGCAACCAATATTTCAGCACCATGGCTGAAGCAGATGACTTCTTAAATTTTCTTTAAAAGAAAACAGCTTCTTTTTGCTCACAAAACAAACCATTTTTTTGCCTTTTCCCTCAATACTAACCATCCAAGTTCAAATTCACCCATTCAAAACCTGATGGATAAAGGAGCTTGTCTTTGCGTGTTGTCTGTGGAAAACAAATTTATAAAATAATATGCCAAAAGCTCTTCGTTACACCCTAATTGTGACATTGACTTTGAAAATAGATCCAGATTTGCATTTTATACGGGGAGTAATCAACTTGATTCATTCAGGTTGTTTCAATTTGAATGAAGAAAAGATGTCAAAATTCTGTATTGAAAGTTACAGGAATTCTCTCCATGCTTCTCTGCCAAAACATTGTTTACAAGATCCTTGTATTTGATGGAATTTATGAACCTGTAAATATTGTACATAGTGTCTGTCTTCTCTGTCACGACCAGTGGAAGAAAAGCTCTAATTTAAAACTGGATCAAGATCACTTCCCTTTCCGTCCATGATATATCTTACCTGTATTTTTTTTTTCTTTATCTATATTATTACTAAATCAAATTATTATACAGTACTTATTTCATATTTGCTGAACCTCCACCCCCCCCATGATGATTTTGCAGTAATATGGTTTCTTAGGCCACACCAATTTGGTTTGCTGGTTCAGAAAAAATATGAAGTGACAGGATGAAAAAAAATAATTAAAAAAACATACCAAAGTAGCCCCCAAATGGCATGATAGAAGCTTTGAAGTCAACATACCAGGCTAGTTTGTAATTCAAACATTAAATTTCAAACCTTTAATCAAACCACTGCATTGATAGATGGAAAAACTGTAACAACTCTGAAGAGAAGGGACTTTCTTAAACTGCTGGGACCATAATATGAGCATTTTGGAGTTGATTGAGAGGCTGAAATGTTTTGTTTTTTTTTGCAAATCAGAAAAAAATGAAGCGGGCGAATCCGTGAACCAACAAATTAAACTGGTGTGGCCTTAGAATAATGCCATGGTCACATTTTCTGCCGATGCAAATCAAATAACATGTAATTTAGGCCAATAAATTCACTCCCGATTAGATACTTCTGCACAATGACAGCTGTATTGATGCTGTAAATTAAAAGACAGCATGTCAATATGTCATTACACAGTAGGACAATACAGTCTTTTAGCAACCCATGCTGTGAGCTGATCTGAAGGCAAATCAAATCAACAAAGTAATACTATAATATAATTCTATCGAGCTAGTCCATAATGATACTAAAGCTAATGTATTGTGTTTTCTTAGGAAGGGTATTATTATATTCTGTAATTCAGGGGATATATCAGCTATTTACAATATGGTGCCGCTTTTGTAGTGATTCAGATATGAATTTTCCAACATACACTGATATCTGAGTAGGACATGAAAGGAGCATATTAAAGATATCTGATTTTGAGTGGGGTAGCGTAACATTAGTTTTGGAAGCATCAACTTTTGTCTGTTTAGCTGTAAGCTGTAAGCTGTTAGCCAAAGGTTAGCTGTCATGCTGTCAACATCAATGGCAAACTGGACGATCTCATCAATACTTCTTGCTAGTTATCGTCAAAAAAATGTTTTCCACCACACGCTTGAAAGTAACTTGGTCATCTTAGGCAGAGATTGGGCCATGTTCCAAATGGTGTCGGTCGTGGTCATGTTGGACAAGTGGTCACTTGGGCAAGTCCTTTAATGCCTATGTTTATGGGGAAAAAATCATAACGGAGAAAAAAGTGTTTGTTATACCCAAATGGCCAACCTATACATGTAGAGATCGTCACTTGAGCAAGTTCTGTATCAGTATAGCCGGTATAACGGCCCTTCAGCGTAACACACCAGCTTCTGTATCTGTATAGCCGGTATAACCGCCCTTCGGCGTAACACACCAGCTTCTGTATCTGTATAGCCGGTATAACCGCCCTTCGGCATAACACACCAGCTTCTGTATCAGTATAGCCGGTATAACAGCCCTTCGGCGTAACACACCAGCTTCTGTATCTGTAAAGCCGGTATAACCGCCCTTCGGCGTAACACACCAGCTAACAAGGGACTTGCCCAACCGACACCATTTGGGACTGCACCACCAAGTCAGTGTGGCAGAAAACATTTTTTTACAATAACTTAGCGAGAAGTTGGACTGTATCCCCACATGAACCATCAGTAACCGTGAAGTCAAAAACAAGCGCCTGGAGTGTTGTTATTCAACATGACTTCCTCAGGAGATCTAGTTGGTTCTTTGATTGTGAGTCGGTCTAAAAACCTTGACATTTAAACCAGCGAGCCACCGAGCAGCGAGTTTTTAAATGATAATCTTTCCCTAATGTCAGGAGATCTGACGTGCTAGTATTTACAGCTTGTCCAGAAAATCACGTAATACTATGTTTTATAACTGCAGCACGTTCAGTTTCTGTCCTTTCAAATGCTATGAAAATTATTTTCATGTGACTGGAGGATTTTATTTTTCAATGTTATGTTAAAGTTATCATCATCATCTTTGCCGCTTTCAGTCATCTATCAACGATGCGGGCCTCCACCGCTCTCCACTGTCTCCTGTCCTGTGCTGTCCTTCGGGCTCCCTCCCATGATACCCATCACTTCTAGGTCTCTCATGACAGTTTTTTCCCAAGTCATTTGTTGTCCCCCCCCTCCTTCTTTTTCCTTGTGGTACCCAGAAAACCATTACCACATTTTGTAACTAAAGCATCTTTGTCTTCCAGATTTTCTAACTTAACTTAAGATCACCAACCAGGGGATTGAGGAAAACTGGTGTTCTGATACAAAAAAACATGGCAAGACAAGACAGAGAACAAGAAAACTGCAGCAAAATTTCCACCCATGTTACAATAGACTGTCCCATTGGCCCAAATGACCCAGCCAGGGCCATTTTACACTGCGCAAAGACTGTCATGCTGTTGAAATCAATGGACAACAGGATTTGTCACTAGTTCTCATCATTATCATCATGAAAAAATGTTTTCTGTCGAAAACTTAAAAATGACACGGTCATCATAGGCAGAGATTGGGCCATGTGAAATAGTGACAGTCGCAGTCGCGTTGGACAAGACAAATCATTAAGTCAACCTAGACAAAAACCCTTAATGCTTACATCTAGTTTGGGGGGGGGGGGTCAGGACCAAGAAAAAGCAGTCATTATGGCCAGATAGCCGGCTTGTAGAGGTGGTTGTTTGGGCTCAGTACTTTCCAGCATTTTTTCCGTTAATTCCATTTCATTTATCATATTAATCTCATTACATGTACTATCATTTGTAAATTAAGTTAGGATGGAGGAGCAGGGCCTGTACAAGCCCGGAAGGCTTCCTACCCCCTCCTGCAATTGTTTTCTTTTGTGTAATTCTTTACCTTTTCAATTTATTATTTTTTTTTCAGAATATAGCTTTCCAGTATGCAATAATCATGTTTTGCATACTGCATGTCCTCTTATGCATTTAGCCCATCTGGGCAAGAACATGCAATAAAGATTCAATATATATTTTTAAACAACTGTGTGCAAAATACAAATGCTGACCTAGGCATTTTGTTCCCTCACCAGATTGAGTCCATGGAGGTTTCCCCGGGTGTCACGGTCAGAGAGGGCAGTCGTGTCAAGAAGGGTCCCCGTCAGCTCCCCAGGAAATATGACATCATCACGCCGACAACTCAACATGCTCTGCGACCACTGACGGACTCTGCCAAGATCAACCCTGAGGTCCTGGTGCAGGAAATTCTGGCCAGGAGGTCGCCCATCTTACGCCCCCTCTCACCATCTCGCCCCGTCCCCCCCATTGTCCCTCACCCCCCTAACAAACATCCAGGGATTACCACCCAGGACTAAGCTGTAATACATTTCATGAAAGTTCATCTGTGTATGTAGTTACATGCTTAAAGTTAAAACTTTAGATCCAACACAATAGATGTTTAAAGTTAAAACTATACACAATATAGTTAACACAATAAAGTTCTCTCACCTAGAGCTTTCAACCAGTCACTCTGGTCTTCCTCAGTAGACTCTAGGTAGAACTTTATTGTGTTGGAAGTTCAACTTTAAACTTGTAATACATTTGTATATTTCTTTGTTTCTTTATTAAAATTCACCAAACAGGATGTAAGAGAATAGGAGTGTTCTAGCAAGCCTGAAATTTTTTTCCGTCCTCTCAATTTGTTTGATGCAGCACCATGTCAAGTAGCATGCTCTCCCTGGAAAATTTTGAAATCTTGATCATCTAAAACCGTATTTCCTGCATTTTGATGGGCAAAATTTACTTGTAGACTGGAGGTCCCATGGCCATGTGTGTTGAGAGAAGGAAAGTTTAATTTTCCTGCTAAGGTTTAGATTGGTTTTGGGACTGATAGGACAAAAAAGAACATCAGATTCTCTTGTATTTTAGTGCATTTGCAATCAATGCACAGAAATATCCCTCATTGTCATCCATTTCCTGACATACCATACAATTTCTAGTACTGAAAAATGTCTAATAATATGTACAAATGTAATTTTAAGATGTACAGTGTTTTGAAACGTAGTACACTAGGTTACTTACTACTGACTTTTGTTATAGGCCAAATATTGAAGTTGGTATACGTATCTGTGTATTGCTATCGTCACCACTTTGTAATGAACTCTTTACATATTCAGATTTTGTTACTTCGTACACTATTTTATAAGGCAACATTTTGCCTATTGTAAGTTGTAAGTATTATATACTGGAGCTTGGAAAAGTGCACATTTACCAATACAGGTTTGAAAGGAAATTGTCTCAGCTTCTTTTTTTATTTAAAGGCATTAAATACAATTTCAGGGCAGCAAAACAAAAAAAAAATATTTTGGATGAGAAAATCTGTCCGATTTACTGTCATTTCTTAGCACATTTTCGTCCTCATTTCATACTTGAAGCATTTGAAGTAGCCCAATAACAAGCTACTTAACATGTCACTGTATTTTTTGCACCACCAATGAGTACATGTAGCTAGATCCAGTGTAATAGCCCCAAAGTGACTTATGAAACAAGAAACCATTTTCCGTCAGTGGCTTACTGCCTTGCAGATACTATTATGCTATGAGATAGGGTTGATTCAAATTACATTTAAAAAAATTAACAGAAAATTGACTTTCAAAATTCAGTTTTACTTCGGAATCCCTGAAATCGCTTTGGGGCTATTGTGCTTTTACCTCATGAAAATATTGATGTTTAAAGTTAAAACTTTTGGTCCAACACAAAAAATTCTCTCGCCTAGAGCTTTTGACCAGTCACTCTGGTCTTCCTCAGTAGACTGACCCAGTAAGGCTTGTCATGTGGCTTCTTTGAAGTGTGACATCATCAACACTGTGTCAAAGGTATCTGGTAGACAATGTCGGCCCCCGTAGCGGTTCAATGAAGGGTGATGGGCCCTGATGTATATGGCCTCCTTCACCGCCTCTCAAGAAATATTCCTGTTCAGTGTCCAAAATATTGATGTTGTTGTGTAATTTTAGATGCTACCACCTTAATTTCTTGTTCACGTTCAAGGTTGAAGTAGCTAGGATAACACCTCATCTTCTACACCAGTAACATAATCTAAAATCGATGTAGCGTATCTTCGTCGGCCTTGGCTAAATGACTGTTCAGTCCACCATCCCGTGTAGCCCGTGTGTGCGTCTGAACCATGAGATTCCTCAAGCTATTACCATCATCAGATCAATTATCCACCCGGTTAACATCTTAAAAACATCTGCCACGTTTCCTTGGAAAGGAGCCATTTTAACTACCCGATGCAGATGGACTGATCAGTCGAAATGTAAGACAAAATCCATGCAGGAAGCAGCTGGCGTGTTACGGCCTGTACAGTATCACTGTAATTATTCCTACCAAATCACCTAGAGTCTAGGGGTGAAAATGGTCGTTTGCCACACCGGGAAAGCCTTTCTTTAAAACACGGTAAAAGGCTATCAAGTTTTTGCTGGATGGGAGGAGGCACGTAAAGGCCAACATGCTCCGCGGAAACCTATTATTGGATGTGAGATTGTTCATTTACTCTGGCCGTTTTCGCTGTTGCCGTAAGTGGACGTCTCTTTATTTTGTGGATCTCGATGCGTGCAGTTCACGGTTCACTAGTGGGAGTGCAGACTGGACTTGACAATCAGTTACTGGTATTTGCAAGCAACTGCAAGATATTTCCCTAGCTCCCCATGTGTTGGAATGAAATTACATATATCTGCAGAGAGAAACTACAACTAGAGTTCCACGATCTCATACCTTCGCCAAATGATGTTAACCTCAGTCTATGACCGCTCAGGTAAGACGGTGGTGAAGAAGTAGAAAGACCAACATAAGTATAGGACAGGAACTTGCCGTTTGGATGACTTCTGCAATTAAATTTTGTGGGTTTCTAAGGGAAGAGGAAAGGAGTGTTTGCTGTAATTTGTAGCCACCCTTGCTGAACAAAAATGGTAAAATGAAGTACCATATGATGTAGCGTGCGGGTTAAACACGACCCTCCACGAGTCTCATGTAGTTGAGACGTAAGTACACTGCCGAGAAATTAACATCTTCTCTCACATAAGGCCATAACCCTGTACAACAAAGAACTGTCATACTTTATCTTTCTTAAACCTAGCTACATCTATACAAAAGTCAGAAAGTTTGCTTGATACAAAATAATGCATACTATATCGTATGTATCGCCTGTCTTGTCCGTTGTATTCTGTTATTTTGTACGCCACCTCTTTGTCATTCATTGAGTCCAAGGAGCTTTTCTATTCAACATAGAATGTCCTTGGGGAGTCTTATCCGTGCTGTAAGTTTTGCCTTCTGTTGTCACGAATAAAGAATAACATCTTGCGTAAAATATGACAGCACATGCATGATGAGACTTGCCAAAAAGTCGAAGTGTATGTCAAAAAAACGTTGGCATTGTGAAGGAATTTCCGCTAAGGAGCTCAAAGACCATTCGAAGAAATGATACATATATTTGCGGCAAGATTACATAAATCTAGATGTCTTGTTGTTAAGCGTTCTTCTGCATACATTTTACTGCATACCTTCTTTTGAGAGTTGTACTGTCTGTCATATTTTGGCGAACTTTTTGTTCCAACAGCCGCCACACACGCACCCAAGTCAAGACCTCGTCTGCCCCCTTTCTTCACCGAAACCTCTGGAAGAGCGATGGCGTCGAGACAAGACGACAGGAGAAACTGTCGTATGCATCCATTTCCTGAAATTGAACGGGGGTAATACGAAGCAGTCCCCTGCAGGCCATATCTCGCTTTAGGTGAGCCATCTATGATCGATGTCTTGTCACATCACCCCGCGATTGTGAGTGGGTGGTGCCGACAATCGCTACGGGAAGTGCGCGTCAGGACATTACCCGATGAAGGTGCCATGAAATGAGCGGGAATTATTGATGTGAATTTGGCGTTGACAGTTTTAATCTCAGGTAACGCGCCCGGTGTTACAAAAGGTGTCGTTTGCCTAAAATGTCAGAGGTGCGCGTAAATTATATCAGTGGCATTGATCGCGAAGCTATCAAGCTTGGGGCGGTTTGACAACTAGTCACCGCTTCACTGGCACATGCCCAGCGACTGTCTTTTTCGGGCAAAGTTGATATAGAATCATGTGTACGGAGGTATTGTTGTTGTCCCCAATAACTTCAGACCATAAAAGGTCAGACACAGGAAATTAGGTCCCAGAAACTGGCCAAGAGCCAGCAAGGAGTTTGCTTACCCCGGAGCCAGTCGGAAATGCTTACAGGTAGACAGAGAAATTAACAAACAAACACGCGCGCGCGCGCGCACACACACACACACACGCGCGCGCGCGCGCAATGTGCACACACACACACGCGCGCGCACACATCACACACACACATACGAGTACACCACACACACACAACAAGAAATTATCTCCAAAAATTTTCCCTTATTTTTTCAAAGGTATAGGCGTCGAATCTGTGCTGCCAAATCTTTCAAATTCGTTCTGCAAGTTACGTAGTTACTTCATGACCAATGTAATTACTACTAGTACTCGGAGCCCTGCTGGCTGAATACTATTATATATTCGTACAGCGGTAGTTCGATTCGTTTCCCATTTAGGCCATGTTGATTGGTTTATGTGGAAGACATCCGAGCGCGCATGAAGTTTCGTCCATGAATTTTCGTTTCCAAAAGAAAAAGGTTTTTCGTCCAATCGTAAATCGTACAGAGCAGCTGCAAAATGAGCAAATATACGTCGTGAATCGCAAAAAAAAAATACTAGAAAACGATACTATTGTCATAAAATGCCAAAACCAATTCCAAAGGAAAAGAAGAAAATGTGTTAAACGAAGAGTCTATTATTCGCCATACCCGATGATATCAAGGTTTAGTCATTTCTTTAACCTTCATGACTTCATTATGAAGGGAACTTTTTTTTGCCAATCATTTCTTTATTTCGCACGCTCGCATCAGTTTTGGGGTTCCCAGAGGATGTCATCCATTAGCCTGGTTACCAAATCTATTATAGCTCCCGAGTCATACAGCCTCTCCGCAAAAGGATAGGGTGTAGGACTCGGGAGCTATAATAGGTTTGGTAACCAGGCAGGCTTGTCATCCATATCATCAACTCAACATGGCCTTACAAGCACTCGGAGCCCGGAACCTTGAACGAACGGGGACATCAGGCAAGGACGTCAACTTTTAGCCCTGTCGGCTGAATACTACATTCATGATACAGATGTAGTTCGATTCGTTTGCCACTTACATAACGTTACACTAGTACTGTAGAATATGCCGTCAACTCCTTCAGGACCTGTCATCCTGCCTTTTCCTGTAAAACTGCCTCACAGCGATCTCCAGTCATTCAGCGCCATGTCGCCATCAAAGATCCCCGAGAGCTATTATATATGCATCAAACCCTCTGAGATGGGGTGCTAATTAAGACCATCGAGCTTCAGACATTCAGTGCTCGGTAACAAATAAATGTATGTTGCCTAAAAACTAGATCGGTGAAGTCTTTCGAAACCTACACCTTCCTCTTAACCATGGGTTATGTTTTTGCTGTCATTTTGGGTTTGCTTGCCTGGCTGATTTCTCTGTGTACGTGCAGTATTATTTATGTTATTGATCAAGGTAACACTATTCAAAATTTGTCCTCGGTGGAAGCTTAATGCTTTCCTCCATGTGTCCACCTCGTCGCATGTCTTTTTCGAGAACTGATTGCAAGTCACAAAGATATAGATAAAACAGAATACTCAATAGAAAATTATTTACTGTTACTATACTAGATAGATTTCAGCTAAGATCAGCAATCGGCAAAATTAGAATTAGCGTCCACCCTCTTCAAATCGAGAAAGGGCGGTACAAAAAGTTACGCTGTAGGGGAAACAATTTGTAACTACTGTATGTCAAAAGCGGTGGAACACGAAATACATTTTTAAAGAGGTGATATGATATTTAATTGACCAGAGGAGTTAGCTGGTCAGAGAGAGTCCAATTTTGCAGAGCTTCTAATGCGTGCGATCTTCGTTTGATCAGAACTTCGTGAAACTTGCAAATAAGCGCCCGGATCCTGGGACGCCTGCGAAGGAGGCTACAGAAAAATCTTGTCTCTGTCCTACTGTGGTGTCTGTGATTTCAGTCTACAAATTAAAGAACAACTTTCTTTCCTTTTTTATTGCGACGTCGTTCGGTGTGATATAGCTAGCTGCCGCCGCGCCGCGTGCCGGCCAAGCTGGTGTGTTACGCCGAAGGGCGGTTATACCGGCTATACAGATACAGAAGCTGGTGTGTTACGCCGAAGGGCGGTTATACCGGCTATACAGATACAGAAGCTGGTGTGTTACGCCGAAGGGCGGTTATACCGGCTATACAGATACAGAAGCTGGTGTGTTACGCCGAAGGGCGGTTATACCGGCTATACAGATACAGAAGCTGGTGTGTTACGCGGCCGAAGGGCGGTTATACCGGCTATACAGATACAGAAGCTGGTGTGTTACGCCGAAGGGCGGTTATACCGGCTATACAGATACAGAAGCTGGTGTGTTACGCCGAAGGGCGGTTATACCGGCTATACAGATACAGATACAGACGGCAATGCACGTGGAGCACTCATCGAGACAGCAAATTCAGCTGATGGTGTGTTCCACACATTATGAAACTTTACACACAGCAGTTAGAATACAAGCAAGCTTTACATCAAAATACATAGATATGGCGTTCAAATGAAGAAAAGTAGAGAATAACTTTTGTCAAATATTGATATACAGTATTCAAAATATGTGGACATTACAAACAAAACAAATGGATATACGGAAGAAGGAAGCACATATGGCAACTTGTAGTCGTACAGGTTTAGTACACAAACGCCTACGTCTACCTCGAAAAGTTGGCTAACCTTCAACATGTGTAAATATCAAATGTATATACATATCATATAACTATCATACATCTATATCGTTATATAATGTACATACAATTATATATGCATCAAACTAAGTTCCCCACTTACCCTATGTCTAAGAATGACATGAATTTAATTGATTTGGATCAAACCAGAGAAGAAATACGCACAGGCGTACCACTCCATTCTCCTGTTGCCCAGGCTACAGTCTAAGAATAACTCGTCTTTTATTGCAGCGGATGATGAAATGTAGTTTGATTGACGTTTCCGGTGTCCCTCCGGAAGAGAGGCCACGCCCACTTCTTGCAATCTACGCGTGTGCGAGGATCTACGTCATACCTGGTCGGTCCTCCGTCGTTTGTAATTATGGACGATGCTTTTTTTTTCTTTGAAGCTTCCGCCGTGAAAGACCTCATCGGTCTTCCGATCATGTAGGGTAAAAGAAAACGGCTTTCCACAAAGCGGCGACTTTAATTATAGTCCTTCTTTGATATGATAGGACCATGGAACCATTTGCGTCATAGATAGTCATTTGATGATCATTCTTTTCACTATTTTCATCTATTCTTGAAAATGAACTACATGTATGTAACATTTGTTTACTGATTCATCGTAAAATCTTAAGCATATTGCAGCGCCAAAGGGCGCCGAATTGTATGGTTAAGAATTTACGAATTGTATAATTGGGTAAAAAATTATACATGAAAATAAGTTTATCGATAGGACTATAAATCAATCAATATATAATCAATCAATAAATCAATAAAACCAATCAATAAATAGATCAACAAATAACCTTTATCTTAACCTGAATGCCATAATGAGAAAACCAACTGACGTTATGATTATTATCATTTTGCGTACAAAGTTATGGGTGTAACTGTTAGATTCTAGTATACCTCTAACATCTGAACACTCTTAAATTCACTTCTCTTGTCTTTTTCACACACAGAATCAGTTACCTATGTTTCTTAGTTCCTTTACCATTATTTCCCCTAGCTTGTTTATTAGTTCCTGTCACTTGTTTTGTAACTAACATATGTGTGGTAACGCTACATGTAACTGCTGATATTGGGCTTTACTTTTTTTGGCAGTACGAAAGAAGTTACAACATAGAGAATTCACAATGTATACGATTTCATTCATCGTAAAAATAAACGAATATTCAGTAGGATTCCATCACTCTTTGTCATTTTCTGTGTAAAGCTTCTCCATTATGGACGTTTTTTTTATGTCTGTGCGAAAACATCCGATTCGTGTGAGATTGGAACACCTTTCACACCCTTCGAAAATATTGGTTCTATTGCTCATCATATACTACTTGTACGGTGCATTGTGGGAGAGCCAGTGCGCAGACGACATGCGCCTTGGTTCCCGTCCGTATGCAAATGAGGATGTCTTGTTGTGGTTCGCCATCTTGTTGTCGCCTTTGAACCTGCTGTTAGAATCCGCTTGTATCGGGGACTTTTCTGAGCCATCCGGCCTGTAGATCGCTATCTAGCGTCCAGCAATGGCCAGCACGGATGGCAAGAAGCTTTCCACCACGGACAGGGTCATCAAAAGTGAGTAGAATGTCCCCTAATTCCGCGATCCATTCAAAACATTCCGCCATTTTGATGTAGGCATTATTTCCAGTATTAATAAACATCAAGTAACCCAGCCCGTGGAACTGGCAGCCAATTTGGGGTTACGGCAAAAATATCGAACCCTGTGTTATCCAGAAAATGGCCCACAACTCGCCCCTGGCTTTCTGTGGAATGAAATACACACCGTCTGTTCAGTGTATTGGTGCTATATGGGGGCTGGGTTAGTGGTACATGGAATGGGAGGGGTCACTTTGTAACAAGTGGCCTATTGATCACCCGCCTATATAACATTTTACACAACCGTGATTTTGTTACGTTAGGGTGAGAATTTTCCAGTATGTCACATTCTCTATATTTGGCTTAATTGCTAATCATATGAGAAGTCCAACGTAAACTCTACCCACCCCCTCGGTTGGTAAGGCGATCGCGTATCAGGACTTTCCCATCGATTTCTTTTTGTCGCCAAATATTCCCAGTCCCCAACCGTACAGTATTGTCATACAAAAACCTCTGAAATATCCCTTCCAGATATTATGTTAGCGTGAAATATTTGGTGTTTTGACATGGTTAGAAAATATTTTCAAGCCCGTTTTCTCAGGGATGGTCACCAGGACAGAAGTTGTCCGTATATACCTGGGCGTTTGCAAGAATCTTTTCTTCCAAATACATAATTCATGCAGCTTTTGCATCCTGGCATATCAGTCTGAACTGTGCACCCACCCACAACCCACCCTCAGCTGAATGGTAGCCACAGTTATGGGTGTTGCCTTGTTGTGCAGCTGTTTTCTTCTGTGCAAAAGGCCCCTGAGTGATCTGAGTGCACTGAGCTGTGTGATCCATGCAGCTAGCCAGTTACTTTCTCTGTGCAAATGTTGAATCAGTGGCTGCTTGTGGTTTGGCTAAGCTGATCACCTCAGAGATATTTATAGGCATGTGATCGATAACTTTCCCCCATTGAAGATCCTGGTGCTGCCAGGGATTCCCAGCTGATTTGAATTGCAGAACAGAGGCTTTTATGGGTTGACCATGGTTGGACAAGCAGTGCGTGTGTAAAGATTGTATGGCATGCCCTTGCTTTCAGCCACAGTTGCTGTACTGGTTTGTCAACATGTATGTTAGGACTGTGGCCCATGGAGACATCTGTTCGCGGCGCAAATTTGTCTCGAGGATTTATGCCTCTAAAGCCGCCCCTCCTCCAAGAGTCTTACTTTAGCAGAGTGCTTGGCTTAGACGAGAAGTTGCCAAGCTGGTAGGGCGGCTAGGTTGTGGGCTAATTTGGCTGCTATGCCCTCTAGTGCTGCTCTCATTAGGAGGTCAAACCAGTAGGACATTTCACGTAATGTTCGCTAGTCACGACAACACTGACAGACATGTGTCCGTATTTTGTGCGGCTTTGCCCCCTGTATTTTGTACATGTGCCTTGTCCTTTCCCCAAAGTTCACCCCCTTGCGTGACCCTGGTAACATGATAACCCCTTGTTGCTGACAGGTAGCCGTGGTCGCTGTGTGGTAAACAAATACAGGGCTGTGTTATCAGTTGTAAAGAGGTGGTACTGGTCGTATCACCCCTGTGCGAGTGTGCTTTCTGTCTGAAAGTAGTTACTGCAAAGTCAACAGAGGATTAACAAAGGATTAGTAATGGATTTGACTCCTGTTTGCCAGTTAAATTTCCCTTGACGCAAGCCGTAAAACCCTTGGAAATTCGATCTCTTCTTGACGATTTGAGGATGATAAATGGTCAAGGGTACGGGAGCGCTTGTTTGTGTGATGGTTGAACATGGCTGTCTCTGACAAGATACAACAAAGAAAGGGGTGAACGCATTGGCCCTTGGCCTTCATTCAAATCTATCAACTTTGGCATATTTGGAAAAAGGTAAATTGCCTTTTCCAAATATGCCAAAGTTGATATATTTGAATGAAGGCCAAGGGCCTCTACTAGTAGTTACAGTTCTGCATAGCACATCTCAGCTTTGAAAGGACCTTGAGCATCTAATTTTATCTCGCCCTGGGAGTTTGGTATTGGGGAATAAAGGCATGTACCTCCGTGACCTTCTGCCTCGCTGTGTGGCTTTGAGATACGCCACAGGTCATGGGAAACAATCACTTGGGATCTCTCTTCAGGGCATTTTTGAATGCATGGGGGAATTAATGGCCTTTTGTGGGACCAGCCATGGTAAAAAAAAATAGCTCTTGTGGGCGTAATAGTTCCACAGGGCATTTGCTAGAGGGTTGGACTGATTCTCAATTGGTCAACCAGTATAACCGCTATTCCGTGTGACACATGGCAATAAGCACAACGGTGTCTGGCAATTTCACACCAAACGACTTGTCACACCTAAACCATTCATACATTGTATCTAATTCTATATCTGCCTCCTGAAGCTATCTTTAGAAAGGACCCCTACTGTATTTGATGACAACTGTACATTCAGTAGAATCGATGATAGCAACATACGTGTAGTCCATTTCCGCATTTTCATTTCTTGACTAGGTCTGCATGATGTAATTTGTGTCTTTAACCCACACTTAATTGTGCAATCATCTTTGAAATTGTAGAAACTGAATTCTGTTGATTTACACAGTAGATTTTTTAAAAACACTTGAATGATTGATATGGATAACTTAAAAGTGAGCGATAGGTATATGTTATTACATGTAAGTATGGATGACTAGACTTCAACATTTGATATTCACAGTTAATCGTAACATCCTTTATTTCAACCTTGATGCTAAATTATCTGAAGGTCAATGTTCGTATGTGGGAGCCTGGCTTTGACCACCACTGGTGTGATTACCTTGGCTACACAATCTGAATAGTTCAATGGATGCTGAGTCTCATAATTCACAATTTTCAATGTTTTGACTTCAATGCTGCCCAAGAAAGGTTTTCGACTTCTGTCATTTATCATTCTGTCTAGTGCTTTTTGCTGTAGACAAGGTAACAGAAGAGGCCATAGAACAGGAAATGTTTGTAATTTCAGAAGTGTATAGTAGTAATCTATGGGGAATGTATAGAAAATAGTTTTCTTATCTATTAGCCCATAGCATAGGCACACAGGCATAGATACAGCTGTCAAGTTTACTTGTGAGTTTCTTATCTAGTTTCCCTTGACTGTACCACTCTCAAGATTAGTTAGAGGAGAAAGATGTTCTAGGTTTCGTTTGAATTATCTATGTTGTGGTCTGTTTTAGCTTATGTAAATTCTGTTACATTTCAATTTGTGCTTTTATAAAAAGCTTAAAAATGCCACATACTGTAATTGTAAATGACAATTTTTTCGTGGTACTTTTATATTTGTTTTTTTTTTTGTGGTCACTTCTGTACTGCGAACTTATCATTACCGTGAACAAATAATTCGCTGACTTTCTTTTTGTTGCACCTCCACGAACGTATGGTTTTGTGAACACGTCTATTTTTCTCAGACCGTGACCTTTTGCTACTGCGAACTTAAAAGTTAAAGGGATTTGCAATATATTTCTACACAGACAGTAAAGAAAAGCGCTATAGATTACTTGATGTAGTTTTAGTTGCAGAACATTTTGAAATAAGCCCGACCTATGTTTTCTAGACAGAGCTGCATTATATGTTGCATACATGTGTAACTGGACACGTAATGATCTCTTTCTATGGACATGTCTCAATAGCCGTGCTTGTGATCTGCATATTCTAGTACTCCATCGCATCTAATGGAAGAAATTCAATCTGACATCTCATCTATTTTTACCTCAATAATTCCAGGCAACTAAAGTGGCGGAGATTTATATATAGTAACCAAACAATCATGCGGACATATAAATCGTGAACTGTCAATTGTGATGCTAGCCTCCGTTGCACCAAAAGCTATGATAAATTTATTGAAATGACAACAGCGTAACAACGAAACCCCAAAGGAGACATATTCTAGTAGCTGATATAATAATAGCATAAACCAAATATCAGAGGGTTTTCTTTTTGCTAAAGAGAGCCATTAAATGAGGTGTCATTTTTTTTTTAGAGTCTAGATGTATAGACACACTAACGAATATACCTGTTTTGCATTGTTGTATGTAACCTATTTATGCCTGGCCTCATAACCTAGAAGATAGATAAAAATGACCATTTTCTATTCAGGCTGCAACAGACTTACATACAATAATATAATAGTATAATGTTACGGACATAGACATAGTCTCACACACCACTGTATTTTCTTTATGTTGTTTGTAACTGCAATTAGCCCTCGGGCATGTATTTGCAATAAACTTTCTTTACAATTACATGGTGAAAAATATGAAAAGCGTATTACATTACAATCAACAATTCTAAGCTTGTTTTCTGTGACTTCTAAGCTTAAGTGTTCTGTTTCCCCTGTGTGAAGTGCTTGAACTTCCCGGTTACATAACGTGTTGCTAGGTGTCCAGGGCAGGCACAAAAGACCTACCTGTCTTACTAAGCAGGTCCTTAGCAGCAGCTGGGGGAACCCACCTGCCCCAAACAAAACCTGCTAGTCTGGTTCTAAAGTCTTAGCCCTTGTCCTGCGGAGCACAACAATTGTTGTTCTGCACATGTACATACAGTACCATCTATATAGCACCTTGTATACTAGTATGTACAATTTGGGGGTATTTCTCATGCAACGCATCACACCGCAGCGAAATGCAACGAATGCGGGAAGTAATTATGCCACTGCAGAGCAAATAAATTTTTTTTGGGGGGGGGGGGCTAGTGATATACATGTGTAATTAAGACATGAAATTATTGAAAAATATTGTGCCAGGAATGCCAGCAGGACAAGGGTTAGGATTCATGTGTAGGCTGAAACCCCCTCCAAAAAATGTATGGATCTATGATTGATTTGAATCAACATTTTTTTGGGAGGGGGGGGGGAGGGGGGAGGGCAAAAACCATACAGGGCTCAAAATTTTTTAGGTGCACAATATAGGATAAAATAAGTAGAATGTCAGCAAAAACTGATGATTATGTTTCATTTCAATTAT